GAGCGAAGGAGATCGAAGGAGAGGAAAAGAGAGCGAGAGGGAGCTGCGAACCGCTGTGGCGTGCTTTCGAGCTTACCGCGGGTTTAACGATCTTACAGCGCGACTCTTGGCGAACGCTTTTACTGCCTGGGGACCTGTTAGCTGCTCTACTAAGATTGACTGCAATTGTCAGCCGCCGCCGCCGCCTTTAGCATCCCCTTCGCCGTGCGCGCAACTTGGTCCATAAGGTCCCGGCAGGGAGGTTTAACGTCGTTTGCTCGCGTTTCTATTAAGCCGTCGCGCGATTCTCGAGCTCCGCCTATCCCCTCTGATTAAAATATTTAGCCAGCTGGAATTTCGTTTCACCGTTGATAGCTGCAGAGACGGCAAGATTATTTTCTTCCGGCGAAATTTCGATTAGCTCGTCGCGAACCTTCTTCTCGCGGGTATTGCTGATTTTTTAAATCACCGGGGATGAGAATCGACCACGAGGTGATTCGATTAACCAGAGGAGGAACGATCGTGTACGATGTCACGTTTCCTACGTTGATCCACAGCGAAAGATAAACCGTATCGATGAAACGAATCGCACCGTGCCTAGCTGTTTGCACTGTTAACGAATGGATGCGATAATTACAACGCGGAGCGAAAATGCAACCTAAACCGAAGATAATTTACAGGGATGCGAGATAACGAATCGAATTTTCTGGAAATTCGTGACAAGCGATATCGAAAGCTAGATAATAGCACGCGTCGAAGAATATTAATTGGAAAATCCCCTTGCAGAGCAAGCGTCCGCGGAATAAACACCTGTTGCAACTTAAGTATGTCTGTCACATCGTCGATATGATTCTCTAAAATTCGAGCGAACGCCGCGGACGTTTAATCGAATCGAATCTATTAAAAATAATTCTAGAGAATTCTGTCTTTCCCATTTGGATATCATCACCTAACTCGAATTTTTCCAGCACCACCCTTTCACGTGGCATTTTTCCTCGCTTACACCACTTTCCATTAATTCGTTTATTAACGAGAAGAATTAGGAAAATTCGCGTCGCACAGTTACATAGGCACTGTCGTAAAATGAAACTTACGCTTTCGTGCAAGGAAGCAAGCTAGAAATCAGCCGTTTGGACGATAGAAACGAGCCAGAGACAGGTGCCTAAGAGAGTTTAGCCCGGACATGGAAGTCCGTCTCTAGTCCGTTCGACATCTATCCTCGTGGACAGCTCAATCGATGGAGCTGGTCGCGATCGGTGTATCCGCTGGCGGAGGAGAGCGGCTCGCCGCTAAAGAGACCGACAAGCTCGCGGAGGCGAAGAAGAAGAAGAAGCGTGTGCGCGGAACATCTCAAACGCGCCGTCATCTGCGCCAGAGATACGTTTCCGAGCGTCGATCGCGCGTTCTTCTCGATGAGTTTCGAGCCCCCGAGAGACGTCGATGGCCTCGTTAAGCCGAGGTTACGAGACGGGGGCCGCGCCATCGAGCAGCCGCCTCGGAAAGCGCGCGGCGACGATGATTTCCGCGCGAAACGACCGGCAGCCGCGGGTAACGGTGGCCTGTATCGAGATCTCGCTACGAGATAGCCGGCAGGTGCTTTCTCCGTTCCCTGCAACCCTCCGTCCGCCCAGCCGGGGTATTTATTACACCCTAGTTGCTCGATGCCACTTTCCGAGAAGCGAAACTTTTAATTTCGATCTTCACCCGGGCTACGCTCCGTGGAAAAGGTGGATATGAATTCCAATTGGGATCTAGGGGTAGTACTTGTCGTGCGTACGAAGATGGGCGCCGAAACAGTGGCGTGTTCTCGAAATCGGTCGAAAACGAGGGTAAACACGAGACCGCGAGTACATCCGGAACAAGGTAAGATAAGCACGGAGCGAGAGACAAGGGTGGGTGGAGGTAGAGGGAGAGCTCGGTGGAGTAAGAAGGGGTAAGTGAGGCACGGCGTAATATCCCCTGTAATTTATGGCGAAGGACTCGTGGACGAAGAGAGAAAGACGACGAGGCAGCAGTAGACGCGCCGGGTGAGCAAGAGGGGTCTCTACGACGCGTAGAGAAAGTGGAGGGATAGAGGCAGATAGGCCATGAAGAGGACGGGCTCGGAGGGGAATGAGAGAAGAGAAGACGACTAAGGAGGACGAAGGAAGGCGAAGGAAGACGAAGAAGAGGAAGAGGAAGCGTGGAGGGGTTGGAGAGGAAGGAAGAGGGAGCAGGTGGCAAGATAGGGTATACGCCAGTGGATTAAGGCGCGGAGCGGCGAGTCAAAGAGATTTTCTCCCCATCCCGTCTCGGCGGGGGCCCCTCGGCCTAACAAGGGCTGAAATATGACTGCCTTTGCCCTACCTCGCCTCGCCTTAGCCTGCCGTGGCTTTGGCCGCCGTGCGCCTTTCGAACGAACCATGGAAAAGCGAATGAGATATCCGTTGCCGACTAATTTATCGGTCGCTCTTCCCTTTCGCTGCCGAGCCAGCCCGGGATCAACGCACTTCCCTTGAACTTTGTCGATTCGTCGTGAAACCCTTTGCCCGTGATTTACCGTCAAAACACCGAGCCGAGCCTTGCCCTGGTTCCGGTACCTCGATGGCCTTCCGGCGTTCTCGCGCCAGATCGGAATCGCGTAGATCGGAAAGATGCTCGGACGAAGGATGTCGGGGTAATTAAGGGGTTGCGCGATGGCAAGGACAACGTTTAGGACGGGTTAATGACGCGACTATTTCGAGCTGGTGGAGTAAATGAAGGGTGTTCGAGGAAGGGTTCGGGGATTTTATGATTCGCCATAATCGACAGATCCGCTGCTGCTACGGATAAATCTACATGTTTTATTCAAAATTTAAGAACCACGAGAATCATTTCTCTTTTCTTTTTATTAATTTTTTTCGACGAATTATAGGAGTGCGTGATTATTCGTAAATATTTTCGACACGAGGCTATTTCGGGTATTTATCCCGTGTCTCGAGTAACTTACGACCAACTACGAATACCTGCGCTGTTGGTTATAATATATTTATTACGTAAATAGACGCTATCCGTATTTCCTTGCTTCGAGGAGAGCTCGCCGTCAATTTCGCGTTGATTAAAGCGAGATGAAACGAAACGAGAAGGTAGAAAGAGGAACGAGCCCCTAAAGAATATCTTCACGCTACCCGAGACGCCGAGGTACTTCCTTGATCCGACAATATTCGTTACCGGGGGATAATTCGAAATCAAAAAACGTCATTTGTCGAGGGGATGAAGACGCGATGATTCCTCGGACGCATAGGCGGCAGCCGCGGTTTCGTGGAGGGTACAAAAATGTGGCAAAGAAATCGCGCGAAATTACAAGCTGCGATCGCGGCATTTTTCTACGGGATGCAACGAAGATGATTACTTTGTACGCAATGACCGCTCGGTGCACTTTAGAACCGCAATTTGCACGAGCCGCGGCTCAAAGGGTGTTCCATGCTGCGAAACCGCAGCGGCAGTCGCGATTTCCGGCCGTCGGAAATTGCCGAAATTACCAAAATCTCAACAACGTCCGAGAAGAACGAGATATAAAGTGTTCGCGGAAAACATTAACGAATGTTCGTCCTTCTTTCCCGCACTGTCTCTTCCTCCCGAATCCAGCCGTCCTTCGGGGACGAGATTACGAATTTATATGTTAAGCAGCGAGCCTTTCAGCCGCGATCACTCACAGCACCGTTTCTCTAACGCGCTTCACGCTTCATTACGCCGCGTAATCGCGAGGGCATTTATATTCCTCCAAGATTTCTCCGTGCTATTGCGCTATCGACCTGGATGCGCTAATTGGCTTAGCTCGTCGTTCCATCGATTGTCTCCCGTCGGAGCTACTCAGCTTCCGGATCTATCCGACAGCTTCTATCGTTAGGTTCGTCAAAAACGAAGAAGAGAGAAAATTAAGACCACGGCAATATCGAATTATAGGTTTCACGCTGTGGGACTTAGAAAACGATAGGGACGATAAAACCATGCTTGATAAAGCCAAGAATTCCAACCCCTGTCACCGAAATAACGCGTTCGCTTTGCCCAATCGGGTGATTCCTTGGGTATGAGAAATCGGAACGACGACGAGTTCGGAGATTGTCAAGCTATCGAGTACTAATAGCGTGCAAAGTAATCGCGAGCGTGTGGTGATTGCACGGTGGTCGTGGTCGTCGGTTACGGTGGTGGAGACGGTGGTAGAGACGGTGGTGGCATTGGCGCTGGCTCGGCCACTGCTAGCGGTGCTAGTGGCCGTGATGGCAATGGTAGCGGTGGTCCATCGGAGTAAATATATTGGATGGTGGTAGGATTGGTGGCGGTGTCTTCCGCTCTCTACTTGAGCCGCGTGCCCGCTCGCTCATTCACGCCCGAGGTGCGCCTTTGATGTGCCGCCTACACCGCGTTCTTGCTAACTCTCGCGCCGCCGACCGCGCCGGATTCTGTTTTTCTTCCCTCGCAAAAATCCTCCTCCCTCTTCGCCCTTCGTCGTTCCATCGCTCCACCGCTCCTTCCCTCTTCCTCTTTATTCCCGTTGCGCCGAGCCTAGCGTACGCGTTCGCCACTCTTCCATCCTTTTCCCGGGTTCTCCCTTCCTCCACCGTCTTCTTGCTTTTTCTGTCGTTATTCCTCCGGCCGGTTGCTCGTAGCCGGTAATAAACGAGAGTCGGAAAAATCGCGAACAGAGGGAGAA